TGAAAATCGCCCGAGCCACTCGAACGAGCATACTCAAATACGTCGAGGCCATTATTAATGGGTAATTAGTAGCTCAACCCGACGATCCTGCCAACTGTATAATTAAACCTTCCTGGACTCTGGCCGATCTCCCGTGGAAAGTTCATCCCGTCGTCGAAATTGCAGTAATCCTGGCCCGCTGGATTTTACGTATTATGAGACGGTTCGATTGACGAGCCATTGCGCCAGAAAGTTGCAAACAGAAAGTTAATGAAATAACGACCGACAGGAAAGACCCTTCTGGCCAATTGGCGGCCTACAATGGGAGTGAAACTTTGATCATCTGAGCTAGAATTTGGGAATTTTTCTTTTACGATTCGTCGAATGTTTATATGTGGGAATTTTAATTACAATTTTTTGAAGTCAGGAAAATAATGATTTTACATGTCCTGTATTTTCTCCTGCAAAGAAACAATAATTTACTGCAGAAATATGTGAACCAAAATGTTCTCGCGAAGTCTCCCACTGTCGAGTCTCCCACTGTGCATCGAGAGTAATTAAACAAATTTTTGTTTCTTTCTGTCCAGGAGTAAGTAATATAGAAAGATATCAATTTAAAATGTACTGTGTTTACGGAAGTATCGAAAGTGAATGAAGTTTCTTCCAATTTTGCAAGCCTCCAAAATGAAGCGAATTTAATTTAGAATATTTTGTCTATATCTTTCGTAATTCAAGAGTTGCCTAGACATCGATACAAAGGATGTTCCTCTCTCAAAATTGAATAGCATAGATCTCAAGTTGGACCAACATGGGTGCAAAATTTCATCGAGATGGTTCCCTTACGAGCGACGCGTCTCCTTTGACGGTCTCCAGTTCGGTCCTATTCTCGTCGAGTAATTAGATCATCGACATAACGGTTAATTAAACGATACAGTGGGCTGGAGACACGGAGAAAGGAGTCGAGTCGCTTTTTGTGGCTGTAATTGCCGGTTGGTAATAAATCGGAGTCGCGTAATAACCTGCCGTAGAGCAACTACTAATTACTTAATTTCCCTCCATGTTTCCCTGAGACCTGCCATCGACTCCCTGATCTAACGACGAAGTTCTTCAGCTAGATCTCCCCTTTGAACCGCAGACACGTTGGTCGAACTAAAATACTAAGCTATCCCATATTTCATTCTATTCTTATTTTATCTTTTCTATTATGCCTAGACCTCTTCGAAGGAGTTTCTATTTTCGGGCACTGAATTGTTAGTCGATGAATTTTTGTCTCGAACACCATTAACCCTTTGCACTCGAGGCACTTTTTTTCTGATATCTCCCAGTAACTCAAATGCTCAGCTTAGATTGACTTGGAAGATGTAGCCGGATTCGTGATCGCAAACTAATTTCAGATTTTACTGCATCTTTTACTGACCTTTACTGCACTGATAATCATTTTATTGACACTTCGAGTTCCAAAGAAATGAAACGTAAACAAATATTATTGTTGGTTGATTTACTGCGCAAAAACCTAGTGGTGATCGAGAGTCACCTCTCGAGTACAAAGGGTTAAAACTGTGCGTTTTCCAAACTTTGCAAGCTCGTTTATACATACTTCAAAAAGTCCTGTATTTTCTCCTGCAAAGAAGCAATAATTTACTGCAGAAATATGTGAACCAAAATGCTCTCGCGAAGTCTCCCCCTATCCTGTGCATCGAGAGTAATCAAACAAATTTTTATTTCTTTCTATCAAGGAGTAAGTAATATAGAAAGAAATCAATTTATCCCAAAGTTCCAAGACCCTCTCTAAAGTCCCCGGCAAAGGGTGGCTCCGAGACGCGTCGATAGGGTAGCCAAGCATTCACTGTCTGCAAGAAAGGGGGTAAAAAGAGTCGCAAGAATTAATGGCGCAATTTTCGCGCAGCCTCGTGGGGACCTTTCAACCGCGGGAACAAGCTTTCCCTTTTCGCCTCGCGGTCGTGGACGTTGTAAGCGGGCGCACGAACATCCTGACCCGCGCGATGATGCATCCCATAAAATGCTAATGAAGTTCGTTCGCGCCCGTAAGGTGCAGCCGCGTTGCGGCCACGTTGAATTTAAAGACGCCACGTGGCGGAGAACGAAGCAGGCGAAGGAATCGCAAAACGAAGAGGACGGTACAAATCGATCGGTAGCCCTCGCCGCGGTGCATCGCAATTTAATGCATAAAACGTCGTCACCTCGTTGGAGAAGCCCCTAGCCGGCACGTACGCGAGATTAAAAATAAGCAAGAGACTCGTTCGAGCCTTGTATATACCCTGTTATTGCCGGTGCCTTTCCGCGAACGTCCATTTTTCATCGTTTTAGCCCGGTTCGACGCGTCCCATTTTTCTCTCGGCGACGATGGAGAGCAAGCGTAAACGTTTAATAAGATGCCGTCCATAAATTATAGCAAGGCTCTTTTTCGAGACTCTTGACCCTCCTCTGTAAGAAACCGTACGATTTGTCCCCTTGCCTCTAAATTGAACTCGTTTATAACAAGATCGCTACTTTGAAGCATGGTAGTGATCACGAGAACATCAGCAAAGTTCATTGAGGAATATTTGCGCGAGGATTAATTTCCTGCGCATGTAGCTTACGCACCACTCGGTGCCTGCTTCTCAAATGGAGATGCTGAAACTCCTTTGACGTCGAAACAGCGTTTGTTCTTATTGCAGAGCTCTTATTGCACAATGGAATTAGTGTAACGTAAAATATAACTGAGTATCTACAATCTCACAAGTATTCGTACCTTTTATGTCTATTGAACGCATTTGTCTAAATTGATTGATGGGTTTGATGTTTCCAAATAAATCTTTTATTATAAATATATACATTTGTGAAGTCTATTTATGTATAGGTTTATAATGAATCATTTATTTGGAAACGTCACAGCTGTCATTTAATGTAGACAAATTTCTTGAATAAACATAGAGGGGCACGAATACTTACGAGTAGACTACGGATCTTTATGCAAATATATAAGAATAAAAATATAATATATAAGAATAAAAAATATAATATATAAGAATTTATTTTATTCTGCAGATAATATAACATGAACTTTACTTTCAATCTTTTTTATATTCTTGCATATTGTTTGCATTTTGTGGGTTCTTGCACATTCAAATTTCCTATAAATGCATAAAAATACGCAGTCTACTTATGGGACTGACTGTATCTTTAAAACATAATATTGAGAACACCTTTGAACGTAAGGCTCTATTCAAAGCTAGAGTCCATTTCTGAAGATGTCTACCTCCCTAAAAGCGACGATCAATGGACCTGGATTCGCTTTAAACGGCAAAATCTTAACTTTACTTTCTATCACCTATCTCACCACTCGGAAATGCTCTCCACTCCCCTGATATTCCTCAACAATCCTAATGGACCCAAATACAAACGACCATAGTTGATAAAACCGACGTTCAAAGTTCCACAGCGCCCGCTCTCTATCATCGGATTAGCGTCACGCGCGAGCACACCTATAACAGAGAACTATGGCCCGAATTGCGAGTATTCAGACACCAAGAAAGGCTCCGAGCCAAGGAATCCTGTAATTACATGCCCGATGCCGCGACTAGCGTCGAATCCTCAGACTCGGCCTGGCCAGGGTGACTGCACTTGCAGACGCAATCAATGGTAGTAAACGCACGCGTTCAGCGACTGGCATTGTTGCGCGGCCATTGTTCCCTGGCAGGTTATCGTTGCATTATACCCGCATTATCGAGCCTTATTACCAGACGAGTTCAGAGCCCGCCATTCAGAACGGTTTACGTCCACCGCTCCGATGAGCGGCGATTTTCCAATCGCCACCAATGTCTGGACGCTTGACAGAAACAGGAACTTTGAGATACTCGATACACGCAAACAAACGTAGTTTACCTTAAGAAACTAGGAAACGTTGATATAGAAAGTGGAGGCATTTTATATTTCGAAGTTTAGATTGTTGTAGCGATTTTCTAGGCGATATTCTAGCGTTGGTTGCGTTTCGGTTTAACAGCTTTTAAAGTTATATACAGTCAGTCCCGCAAGTATTCGAACCCGGATCAGCAACGTTACAACCTGATACTCTACCAATCTACGCAATGAACCTTGCTAGTCCCATAAATAATCGTACCTTCTATATTTACTGAAGAAATTTGTTTAATTTAAATGGATGCTTCATGTTTCCAAATAAATATGTAGTTGTAAATAAATATATGTGTGAAGTTTATTCACGCATGTTAAATAATGTACCCTGAAATTGTTACAAATTGAAAAACAAGCATAATTTTTTTGTTAAATACGTTCGCCGGGAATTTGTGAACACGTTAGTTTACGTATTCTACAAATAAAGACGTAAGAAAAATAAATAGCGATGATTTTTGTTTGTAGTATCCTTTCACGTAATATGGCTTTACATATAATTCTAATAAAAATGTCTTAACACTTTTCTTTTGGAAGAAAAATCGCAAAAATCATCTGGCCGGGAACTTTTGAACGGCACTGTATTTATAATGAAAAATTGATTAGGAAACATGAACCATGTCATTTAAGTTGGACAAATAAATATAGAGGGTACGAATACTTATGGGACTGACTGTATATGGGTTACTATTGCATAAAGCCATTGGTATGACTGTATTAGCTATGAAAATGTCAGAATAAATGGTGATGGTATACTAAACGTTTCTCTCAAGAAAACTTTACTTAATTTTCACCTCAGTCTCGCTTGCCAAGCGTCGTAAAACTGTCGATTGCCATCTGAGAAACATAAGCCTCGTGGTGCGTAAGGTAGATGCGCAGAAGTCGCCTCCCGCGCATTCATCGTTCTCAACTGGCACTGCTAAGAAATTGTCGCCATGAAAACTAAAAGGAACTATTTACACGACGCCATTTCACGGAGACGATCGTCAGTAAACGCTGTCCGAGCGTTGTAAAAACATAAATGGTTTATTTTCGCGCTGACGACGCACTTCTCTCTCGTGTTTCGCTCGACTGCGCCCGGTGTATCGAGGACGTAACTGGATGGTACTTACGAACAACACCACGTTGTAAATGTGAAGAACGTATTTCAGGAAGTTCACGGAGCAGCAGCCGTCGTCTCTGGTCCTCAGCCTGGTGGAAGTGCCAGGCAGCCTCTCAGCGCTTTTAGCCATCATTGGTTGATTCGTTTCTTCGCGGATCTCCGTCTCTGTCGTCGTCGTCGTCGTCGTCGCGATCGTCGTCACCTCGTCACCGACTCTGAAAGCACACGAAATACGGCTCGTTAGAGTGCTTTCCTCGGAACGCACGCTACGAAGAATAGAACCGAGGTATTGAATCGCTCGATGGAATTCGATCCCGTCGTTGCAGCAAAATTGCGTTTTTCGTCGCGCTATCCCCGACGATTCTTCTCGTTGCGAATTCCTCGAGAGTGTCTTACGCTTGAATTGCGAGTAAATCTATCTCGTCGCGTCGCCCCGAACGATCCTTGGCCGTTGGCCAGCGACCATCACGCACTGTTGAACTTTTGGTCGAGGTACAGGTAAGGAAATCGAATCGATCGCTATTTATTTGACTGCGATAGCGCTGGAAAAATCGATACGGGCGAATCGAGGCGCTTGAAAGACTACTCGAAGAGGTAGAGTTTAAAAGGACTCGAGATAAACAATTGGTGCTTAGCGATCAAGTGATCCTTTAAATTTAAATAGCTTCTTTATTTGAACGTTTCGATCCGAGTTTATAACCTTCAAGAATCGTGAGTGTTTTCATTATTAATTTCACTTTGTAATGGATGCATTACGTTAATAATATTCGATTAAATTGAGTGTGGTATTATGGTAAGTCATTTGGGGCTCTCAGTAATGAAATTGTGGAGGAACAGAGGCGGCCAAATTGAATGAAACCAGGAGGCAACGTTGCAGGAAGCGGGAAAAGAGCAACGATCAAGGAACCGGAAGTAACTTTGTCGCAGTTCAAAGGATAAACGACATGCGTTGGCACGAGCCCATCGCTAACGTCGTTTCACATTGCCAAGGAATGCCAGACTTCCACGGCTCGAATACGCTGCCGTATCCGATCGACCGCTCCCTTTTCCCTTTACCTTTTATACCCCTTTTCCACCTTGGCGCAGACCTAACCCTATGTACTAACCCCCCGTTGCGTGCAGACACCAAGAGACCGCAAAGTCTTATCTTCTGGACGAGCTGGTCTCAATCTAGTCGTTATTATTTACGCGAGAACGAGTTTCCCAGAGGTCATAAATAATACGAAGGTGATTTTCCTTGAAATTGTCCACGAAAAATTTTAGGGTTAAATATACTTCACAGAGTTGCAAAAAGGAAATGTTTACTGTGTATTTTACGTCAAAATATACAACTACCGCTCGCCATTTTTCTTCTTGACTAATTAATTCCATCGTAGAATCCAACGTTTAACAATGACGTTAACTTTCCAAATTAACGCTCCCCTTCGCGTGCTCGCACGGTATCTGAACCGCCACGATCGAGTTCCCAATTTCGCCAAACGTGCCCGATTACACCGCGCCGGCAAATATTTCTCACAGTGTCCAAGAACAATTCGTTTACTCGCGATAACGACGAGTCGAGAATTAATTAGGAACCATGGAAAGGTCAGAGAGGGGGTAGGGTCGCCTATTTACGGACCGTTAATTGTGTTTCCGCAATTAGGGCCGCGCGTTATCGGGAACCCGCAAAACCGCCGAATAAAGGCGTAATTGAGCCTGGGCCAACGCGTTCCTTAGTCGCGGGGCTGAATTTTGGTCAACCGTCGGGGGTGAATTCAAAAGGGGATAAAACGCCTGGCTAATGAGAACGAAGAGACGACGCAGGGCACCGTTCCAGGGGGTTTGGAGGGGAAGGGGCGGCTTCGGACGAGGAGAAAGACGAAGGTGATTGCAGCGGTGCACTCAAGAAATCTGAGCAGAGAAGATGAAAGAAGAGAAACCGCGAAATTAAATGGGTGTGACCCGTTCCTTTCGTGTGGGCGAAGTAGTTTCGACCCCGCGAGGGGATCCATAAAGGAAAGTTCCCGCCCGGATGTACCGGTCTCGTACGTTATTCTTATGTTTTTCTTTCTTTTTTTATTAGCAAACTGCGAGCCCGAGACGCTTAATAAACGGTAGGGTGGATAACGTTCCGCGGTTATTAGCATGGTCGATTTTTTTATGAAGGTTCTGGTCGAGCAAATATCACGGTGTATCTTCTGAAAGTTCTGAGACGGGCTTATTTACATTAAACAGTGTGAAATGTTATGTATGCTGCTTTTGTTCCTTCAATGTGGATGTTTTAGTAAAATGCATTTGAAAAGAAGAAGTATACATGTACTCAAACTCGATATTTTAAATTTAATTGTTATAGAAACGATATTCAGGTATATAATTATTACATGAAATGACATCAAATATTCTATAAATTCAAATTAAATGAACGAACGTTCCAGCAAAGCTACTTTTCTACCATTCTTGATATTCTAAAGTAAAATAACGAGTAGTAATACATAACAGAGATGGAATGAATTTTTTCAATTGCCAGAACGTTTGCGTTAATTAAGGTATGTTCGACGAGTGACTTGTCCAGATTCCATCAGTTTCGACCTGGCCGGAGGAAAAACTTTCCGACACGGTTACACGTGTACGTGTCTCTCCAGGATAACGGACGTGGAAATAATCAACGGCGGTGACAGGAAAAATAATTCAACCGCCACGCGCCACTCGCCCAATAAGGTACTCCCGGCAACCCACGTGCCACGGGAACTTAAGGTAACATCGAACGCCCACGCAAACCCGCGACCCACGTTCGCGATGACGCACCGATATGCATCTCGAATCTGTTTTTACAGACGTCCTAGAAGAAATATACCGAGGCGTATTGATGGGCCAACCGTCTCCCAGACGCCCATATGTGTCCAAGATTGCTTTCTCCCATCCCATCATTAATTCTGGATTCATTCCTCATTTCTACAGCTATTACATAAACATGCGTATGAAGAGAGGGTTGATAGAGAGAAAAATGTGAGAAAGTATGATGCTTTGCATTACTTTTCTTTTTAAAGGAATGCCTTAAATTTAAATACGGATTAATTCTATATATTTAAATCGGTAAATAGTACCAGAACCTCTCACTTCCCCAGCTGTTATATAAACATGCGTATGAAGAGACGGTTGATGAGAGAGAAAAATTTAAGAAAGAACGATGCTTAGCATACTTGTTTTTTCAAAGGGTGTCCTGAATTCAAATACAGATTAATTCTATATATTTAAATCAGTAAAATAGCTCCAGAATTGAATCCTCAATCAAGGAATAAAAAATACTATGTCCCACGCTGTGTAAACTTTCAAATTCGCCCAGGTCGTAAATGCATAAAATTCGTAGTCCGGTCACGATGACACCATGACAGTATCAATCATGTAGTCCAGCGCGACGCTTCGAATAGAAAATTTAGAAAAAAAAGAGGTCGAACCGTCTCGTCTCGAATTTTATTTCTCTCTTTTTTTTTTTTTATTTTTGACAATCACCCCCATAAGTCTTCCATATGTTGCGTTAATCGTAAACCTGACACGCGCACGGCAAGCCCTCCCATCGAAAACCATGTCTCATAATATATCAGCGACGACATCGGGGGCTGCCGTTCTATCCCTTCCCATCAATTTGCCGCGGTGCCATGTTCCCAGCATAGACATATCCTCATTTATCCCGATGTCCTACACGTCGACAGCCAATTTGCTAATCGAGCCAATCATCCAATCGCATTAACCTTGCCGGCCACTCAGAGACCCCGGTCTCCTTTTTATTGGACGGTTCCTGCGACAGGTTTTAGATTCGCGAAACGGCGGACCTCGAGGTGCGAACGCCCAGCGACCTCGCCTAATTCTCGATCACAGATACAGCATCACGTATACTAGTAGACATTGTGCGCGTCCAAACTCTAATGGAAAGCTTGCCTTAATTCTACCTAGTCTCGATGCTACTTACAGATTTTTAAAACATTTATGCGCGGGTAGTTTCCAAAAATTTGAGAGCTTCTTCCCAGGATCGATTCTTCGTGTCGATATGAATCGAAGAGTCCTTTTCCATTTTGCAATCCAAGGCTTGGTTGTCGAGACATTTAAACTCACCGAGTGTGTGAACACGTGGTCACGTGATCGTCTCGTACGCACGCGTGCGTACCGACGCGATCAGCTGACTGGGACATGAATGGCGCGCGCCCAGAGTCTCATTAATGAAGTTTGATAGCTCGTATCTAGGTAACGAAGCATCCGATAGCAAAATGGTAAAAAACTTTCCGATTTAGTTTGTCGCGAGCAATTGATCCTGTGAAATGATTTGATATTCAGTCCCTGGTAGCGTTGCGAGACTACGATTTCAATTTATTTGAAGAAGAAGGAATGAAGCATGAAAGAAAACGATTTTCGGATAAACTCTAGAACCACTTTGAACGACTTACCTCGACGTCGGCGCGTGCACGTCTGGCAGATCGTAGGGTACAGGATCACGTATTGGCGAGAACATAAAGCGACCGTTCCTCGTACGCTCGATTTAAGACGAAACCGTAATCTGAACGCTCTTTCCTCCCTTTATTCCGCGAACTCCGACCCGTGAAATTCACCCGATAAAGGTGAAATAGTAGGGGAGAATGGCAGGGCAGATTGGCCGATTTTACGCGACCTGGAAACGGGTAAACCGCTGCATTAAACGATTCTGGATATCGCGAACGAATAATAACGATGACGTGGCGGATGTATACTGTCCATGCGTTTCAACCTTACTAATAGATCTTCTTTAGAAAATTCTAATTTAAGTACGCAGCAATTCATTTATAACGTGCAGGAAAATGATGGAAGTTTAAAGATCAGAAACTACGAAGCCAAGTAGAAATAGAAATATAGTTGGAAAACTATGTATATAGTAAATTGCCAAACGAAGATTCCTTTGGGCGAAATGGAAAACAAACAAATCCTCAAAGAGAGAAAAATTGCACGCTTCTGATTTTAATTCCACGCGTATCTATGGGCACCACCTCGCGCGCGTCAATCGCATGGATAGAGAGGCAATCGATCGGAGTCGAAAAAATCCAAATCGACGCCGGTATCGATTTTTATTGCCGCTTTCCATTTGCCCCACACGGTGATTCTACCGCAGGTTGCACCAGCTGGGGCCAGCGTGCAGTGCCTGCAGACGGAAAACTGCAACGCGGGAACCAGCCGACGAACGAGTACGTCGGCCCACGCCATCCGCCTCTGCGTGCAATTGCACCGCGCTGCACCGTGGAAAATTGGATAATGCAGCTGTGAGGGAATAAACGGAATCCATCAGCCGCCATTGCAGAGCCTGGTAATCTCTCTTTCTCTCGATCCTCAGGCTCTGTTCGAATTTTCAGCTATTCCCTACATCCGCAGCCTCGTTGGCTCCCGGGAACTTTTAGAAATTTGTTTTTTCACGGGCTTTTCATCGACGCCGCGTCGTGAGCAAATATAGAGTAATTCGCGAATTCGGTGGCGGTAGCCCATTGTATTAAATGGGAGAATATTTGTCTTTGGGTTCGATCCACGCGTCCAATGGAAGTAAATTATTAACCCTTTGCACTCGGATGTCTCTTCTGAGGGGATATCATAAACGCGGAGCGTAAAATATGTAAAAGTGTATAATTCCTCGAAGCCTTTTATTCGAATATCACGAAAAATCAAAAAAAGTGTGGTACTGTCGCTGGAAGGGATCTTATGAGGTCGTAAACCGAAACAGTAGTTATTGCTTTATTGGCCCAGGTAACTGATCCGTAAGACGACAGGGGTGTCGCGGCTCTAAAGTATACATGCCCACGTTACACCCCGGGGCCCCAAGACTTGATGTTTGCTACGCGGGTTTTTTCCAAATTGGAAAAATCGAAAACTCTTGGCGATGATTAGTTAACAAAGTTTCTACCTACTACAGTATTTTCAATAAAGTCGGCCAACAGAATTATGTGTGAACATACATAAGAAGAAAAAAGTTATTGAAATATGAACATCTTAATTCTGATACCATACGGTCCTGAACGAAAAGTCTAGCTCGGTCCTTGTCTAAAAAGGTGTCAGATTACTAATTGCGATCGACTTAAGCTGTAAAGATCGATGCCCGACCGACTTTACGACCACACAAGTTCCCTCCAAGCGATGGTACATGCATAAAGGCATACTCAAGGAAGGAAAATGGAAAGAATCTCAATATTCTGGGCCTAGAATCCCAAGCGAGATCCTCTGTATCGATTTCAAGAATCGCATGGTGCTTACTGAATCAACGGGACCGCCCGGGGCCGAACCGAGATTTTTTCTTGAAAATTAGCAAACTTTGAAGCGTTATATTAGCGTATTAGTTACATTATGTGATTCCTGTTTACACATTCTGTAACGAAATGCCTTCGAGTGCAAAGGGTTAATAAATTAGAGCAGTTCGCTCTTGGTAGAAATGCAACACACATATTTGAATAAATAAAAACTGTTAAGAGCAAATAAAATCAAATTAGATCAGAATATTTCTTTACCTTTCCTTACTATCAAATTCGTGGAGAATTATACGAAATAAATAGATTTCGTATTCCTACCATGCAGAGCTTCGTTTAAATACAGTTCATTCGTCCATTGAATTCGTACTACGTTCAAAAATTTACGTGAGTCGCTGCAGTTTGTTATACTACTCCAGGGAGGGGTTGAGAAAATATTCCACTCGCTCAAAAATGATCTTTTTACGTTGACAGGTCACTACTTTTTCACCTAGGTGAACGAATCGCGCGAAAGTGGCGTCGACGACTCTAGCGTCGTTTCCCGTGGGTCTAAGTAAATGAACACGCATGGCGGGACATAATTAACGTTTATAAACTATCGTGCCCCGAAGTAAAGTGCCCCTGGCCGAATGTACGCGCCCCGTCCATAGGTACATCGACATTACGACCAGTTATTTATCGCGTTACCACGGTTGCGCGCCGTCCACCACCTGGAAATAACGCGAGGTCGTTTTTTAGCGATCGTAAAGGACACTCATTTCGTCTTTACGTCACTTTGGCCCGAAATACGAGGACCAGAGGCTCGGGGTCGTTCCGTGCACGCTGTAGGGTCGTAAAAAATCGTCGAGACTTGCCAGCATCGCGAATCGTTTCATTAAACAGTTTCATTCAGTCATTCTAATTCAATAATAGTCCATTCAGCGTCCCTGTGGTATATAGCGTCAGTTATCTTGTTCTCTGGCGCACAAATTGATATCAGAAGCGTGGGATCTTTTCATGGATCGATTCCTCGTGCAAAAAGGAATCGAAAAGCCCTTTGTCGTCTTGCGATCGGTAGCTTCGTTGTGTAGATATAAACAATTGAAGTTTATGATGCGACTCGTGCTATCTATACCTCAATATATCTATATGTTGCAGGGAAATGATAAAAATAGAGATTTGATCAAATCCCTAAGGTAGATGATCAATTCACGGGAGATGTTAAAATAACAACTCCGTAAGGTCATTTCCCTAAAGAAAGTAAGTGATTTGATCACATCCCTTAACTGTTTTAGTGAAAAGATGAAATAATATGATTTGATCAAATCCCTTGACTGTTTTAGTGTAAAGATGAAATAATATTATGATGATAATAATAATGATAATGATAATAATGATAATAAAGATGATACTAATATTTATTTAGTAAATCGTGCGTTATTAAAAGTAGAATAGGTAATACAACAGTACTCATAGAAACATAAATTATTTATTCGAGACTAATTAACAAAAGAAATAGGTACTTAAGCTGATATTTTAAAAAACAAAAAGAATATTTGTAGGGAATGTAATTAATAAATAATTTATGTTTCTACGACGATTGTTGTATTACCTACTCTACACTTAATAACGCATGATTTACTAAATTAATACTTTTAATATCTAAACAATATTATTCCATCTTTTCACTAAAACAGTCAAGGGATTTGATCAAATCATATTATTTCATCTTTTCACTAAAACAGTTAAGGGATGCGATCAAATCACTTACTTTCTTTAGGGAAATGACCTTACGGAGTTGTTATTTTAACATCTCCCGTGAATTGATCATCTACCTTAGGGATTTGATCAAATCTCTATTTTTATCATTTCCCTGCGACATATATCTCGCGCAAGAACTTTAACTGCCTGTATCTCGATAATGGAGTCTTGAATCACAAAAGGGAAAAGGACTTCTCGATTCGAAATATCTCAAAATATCTTCCCGTGCATGCAGGTGAATTTGATTATTCGATTAGGCGAACATCTACACTTTGCGATACCGATTCGATAATAACGACATAGTGCCCCCATGTCTTTCTCTGCCATTTCGCCAGGCTTCTGAAAGCAAGTAAAAAGGTTCCACATTCGGCTAATGGAATGCGTACAAATACTTCCCGTCGTCACACAGCCCTCCATTTTTATGAAAACACGGAGGACAACGGTGGCCAATATTTCCCGAGCCCCGCAGATTTCCACGCGCGCCGATAATTGCTTCGAGAGAGCCGCAAAGTAAACGCGCGGCGTGGACGTAACAGGCTCGATGGAACAAAAGTCGATAAAGTTCGAGAGTTATCCGCCCGCCCATGTTCCTATCTCTTTTATCGCATAGTAAAATTATACTGTACAATGTATATCGACAGGCCGAACCACTTTCCTGCTCGAATCGAATAAAGGTCATCCCTCTTTTCATGCAGAACCAATTCTCCAGAAAAAGGAAGAGAAATCTTTGGCGGGTGTACTTGCCCTGGTCTAGATAAATGATCGAAGCAAGAATCTAAATAAAACTCAGACGTTTTCAGACTAAGTAGAGAAAACATGAAACGGAAAAAAATTTGATAACATTTGAGATCATTTTCGAGGATAGTTTACATATGAAATAATTGGTATTTGTACGCTATCTATAAAATAAATCTAACAAAGTACGTGCCACGTTCGCTCCTTTATACCATTAAATATAACCATAAAGCGGTCGATCCATAAAAGGAGGGAGCCCTGAGATAAAAGCGGGTTTACGAGTTTTTCGTAGTTTCTGGAACAGCGATGGCTGATCACTGGTCGTTTGAAATTTGCTTCCGCGAATGCAACGAGCTTTTACCGAGCGGAAATTTCCGGATCCGTGATCGGCTTAAATCAACAGCGATTCGTGGACCGTCGATAAATTGGCCGACACTCGGTCTCCGAGCAAGGAAACAGCTGTTCGACGATTTTTTCACGTCGAGCCGCGCAATTGGCGAACAAATCGCGCGGGGACACTTTTTCGACCTCGATCCCCTTCCCTGGCAACGTCAAACAAACATTGTGTACACCGTGTAGGTACACAGCGACGATTCGACGTTGACTGTTTGATTCGCACGCTTCGATGCGAGTCGTTTCGCGATGTTATCCCACGGTCGGTCCAGAAATTGAACGTTCACACATGGGAGAGGAGGAAAAACGTAACAATTTTTATTTTAGAATATTTTTAGAATACATTCAAAGAGCCATAGTACTTTTTAACCCATGTTGATTTTACGGATGGTAACAAAAATGTGAGGTCATTCCGTAGAATCGATTCCTCGTGTAAAAGAAATTGGGGAAAGCACTCTCTTTACCATTTTGCGAGCAGTTAAAGTTGACTGATGCGACTTTTGGCGCGTTGTTACGCATCCAGATGCATGCTTAACCCTTT